TAAAGCTGTGGGCACGCAGACCAAACTGCTGCCCAAAGTGCCCAAAGAGGAACCTTCAGATCAGCTCCTTTCTATGGACCAGGCCTCCTCTGACCTCTCAGTGACAGCCTTGCTGCCCGAAAACGCTGTCCTGTACCCTGGTTCTCAACTGGAACCCAAAGCAGACCCCTCCCAGTGCACTCCGACCCCTGGCCTGGTCCAGAACCTCCAGTACCCCAGCCCTGGCATCAAAACATCTCCCGGGAAACCTCCAGAGGAAAGTAAGACTTCTGTAAAGTTGTGCCAATCCAAACCTGCAGGGCAGCCGTCGGGCAGCATCACCGTCCTGTCCCCCGCCATCTTCAGCAAAGCCGTTCAGATCATTCCTTCTCCACCTAAAGGCAAGCTGCCCATCCTCCCCTACTCCAAGATCAAGAACAGCCTCATGCCCACGGCCAAGCTCAGCTCAGTGACAACAGACAAAAACAAGTTTGCAGGTCAGCCCCTTTTGTCTAGTCCCACGGACTCTGCTCCGAAGACTCCTGTGCCTGAAACAATGCAACCTCCTCAAGTCCAAACTGCTCTGGTCCCCATTATAGGAACTGTGCCAAAAGCTCCAGGCAGAAAGAGAGGTCGTAAGAGGAAGACACTGGAGGACATCCTGGCGTTCGAAGCCCGGAAGAAGAGGTCCCTGACGTTCTTCCGCAGGAGAGTCCCAGACAAGCCCCCCGCCGCTGCCCCAAACAAACAGAAGGAGGTGGACATCTCCAAGAAGTACCGCAGCATCCGGCCCAAGCCCCTGCTGCTGATGGAGACAGTTCCTCAGCTGGTCAGCATGCCCACCCTGGCAGCAGAGAGCCAGGACAAAGAGGTCCCCCCAGGGCAGCAGACGGCCAGCCCACCAGCCCCCGCCCCGCTCCCCTCCCGCCTGCACCGCTGTCCCACCTGCAGCCGCTCCTTCCAGTTCAAGCACCACCTGCAGAGCCACATGAACAGCCACACCAACAACCGGCCCTACGCCTGCCCCATGTGCCGCAAAGCTTACGCCCACTCCGGCAGCCTGAGCACACACATGAAGCTGCACCACGCCGAGGTGAGGCCCCGCACCGCCCTCTCCTGTGAGTTCTGTCAGAAGGCCTTTGGGTACGTGGGCGTGTACTTCAGCCACCTGCGCGAGGTGCACAGGGTGGTGCTCACCGTGGAGCCCTCCATCAGCCAGCACGAAGACCAGCCGCACGCAGACGGGTGAGACTGGGCACTTTGTCTAGATCATTCAAGGATTATAAAATGATTATGAAGGTTTTGTTAATCTTTTAGATTTAGATGATTTATGTTGTTTAAGGTTGGATTTGTCTTCTGCATTTGACCCATCCTTCAAAACCTTCTCAGCAGCAGTGAGCTCCACTGCTCAGTGCTCCATTTATGTGATTTTGTTGCTAGGTTTGATTTGACCCCCTCCTTGAACCGTCACCTTATCGTGGTGGAGGGGTTTGATGCCCGATTGATCCCGGGAGCTATGTTGTCGGGGGCTTCATGCCCCTGGTAGGGTCACCCAAGGCAAACAGATCCGGGGGGACGGGTCAGATGAAGAACGGTTCAGAAGCCCCACATGATGAGCAACACACAGAGGCCAGTTACGTCGCCCGGATTGGCGTCACCGGGGCCTCACCCTGGAGCCAGGCCTGGGGTGGGTGCTCGTCAGCGAGCGCCTGGTGGCTGGGCCTTCCCCCACGGGGCCCGGCCGGGCTTAGCCCGAAGGAGCGACGTGGGGCCGTCCTCACGTGGGCCCACCACCCGCGGGTGGAGCCATATGGGGCCGGTGCAGAGAGATCTGGGCAGCAGTCAACGGCGGGGGCCTCGGCGACCGGATATGGGACATGGAGACTAGCTCTGGGGACATGGAATGTCACCTCGCTGGGGGGGAAGGAGCCTGAGCTTGTGCGGGAGGTTGAGCGTTACCGACTAGATATAGTCGGCCTCACCTCCACGCACAGTTTGGGCTCTGGAACCCAACTCCTTGAGAGGGGCTGGACTCTCCATTTCTCTGGCGTTGGCCGCGGGGAGCGGCGGTGGGCTGGTGTGGGCCTGCTCATTGCCCCACAGCTCAGCCACTGTGTGTTGGAGTTCACCCCGGTGAACGAGAGGGTCGTGTCCCTGCGCCTTCGGGTCGGGGACAGGTCTCTCACTGTGGTGTCGGCCTACGGGCCGAACAGCAGTGCTGAGTACCCGGCCTTCTTGGAGTCCTTGGGAGGGGTACTAGACAGTGCACCGACCGGGGACTCCGTTGTCCTCCTGGGGGACTTCAACGCCCACGTGGGCAACGACAGTGACACTTGGAGAGGGATGATTGGGAGGAACGGCCTCCCTGATCTGAACCCGAGCGGTGTTTTGTTATTAGACTTCTGTGCTAGTCACAGTTTGTCCATAACGAACACCATGTTCGAGCACAAGGGTGTCCATAAGTGCACGTGGCACCAGGACACCCTAGGCCGGAGGTCGATGATCGACTTTGTAGTCGTGTCATCTGATCTCCGGCCGCGTGTCTTGGACACTCGGGTGAAGAGAGGGGCTGAGCTGTTAACTGAGGTGGAGCTGTGTTCGTTGCCGGCAGTAAGTCAGACCTGTTCCCGGTGCATGTTGGACTCCGCCAGGGGCTGCCCTTTGTCACCGGTTCTGTTCATTGTGTTTATGGACAGAATTTCTAGGCGCAGTCAGGGGCCGGAGGGGGTCCGGTTTGGGGACCACAGGATTTCATCTCTGCTGTTTGCGGATGATGTTGTCCTGTTGGCTTCATCGAACCAGGACCTGCAGTGTGCACTGGGGCGGTTTGCTGCCGAGTGTGAAGCGGCTGGGATGAGGATCAGCTCTTCTAAATCTGAGGCCATGGTTCTCAACCAGAAAAAGGTGGCTTGTCGTCTCCGGGTGGGTGGAGAGTCTTTGCCTGAAGTGGAGGAGTTCAAGTATCTCGGGGTCTTGTTCACGAGTGAGGGAAGGACGGAACGTGAGATTGACAGATCGGTGCAGCGTCTGCAGTGATGCGGTCGCTGTATCGGACCGTTGTGATGAAGCGGGAGCTGAGCCGAAAGGCGAAGCTCTCGATTTACCGGTCAGTCTTCGTTCCTACTCTCACCTATGGTCATGAGCTCTGGGTAGTGATCGAAAGGACGAGATCGCGGATACAAGCGCTTGAAATGAGTTTCCTCCGCAGGGTGGCTGGGCGCTCCCTTAGAGATAGGGTGAGGAGCTCAGTCACACGGGAGGAGCTCGGAGTAGAGCCGCTGCTCCTCCACGTCGAGAGGAGCCAGTTGAGGTGGCTCGGGCATCTGTTTTGGATGCCTCCTGGGCGCCTCCCTCGGGAGGTGTTCTGGGCATGTCCCACCGGGAGGAGGCCCCGGGGAAGACCCAGGACACGCTGGAGTGACTATGTCTCTCGGCTGGCCTGGGAATGCCTTGGGGGTCCCCCCGGAGGAGCTGGAGGACGTGTCTGGGGTGAAGGAAGTCTGGGAGTCCCTGCTTAGGCTGCTGCCCCCGCGACCCGGCCCCGGATAAGCGGACGAAAATGGATGGATGGATGGATGGTTTGATTTGACCTGTTGTCCACACAGAAAGTCCTGGGTGACCCTCAAACTCTTATCCTTTAGCTGTACTTTGTGATTTTCAAGCACTCATTTGAAGAGATTATTTGAATATTGTACAAGATCTTAAACCTCTCTTTCCAAACTTCCATCTGCTCCTCATTTTTGCTCACACGTTTGTTTTTTGTTGCTCAGGACGACAGCTGAAGGCGGGGAGGAGGCTCGCGAGGACCCAGTGGAGCTGCAGATCAAATGCGGCCGGTGCCAGGCCATCACGCCCACCTTCGCCGACATGAAGATGCACTTGCGGCACGTGCACGGGGAGGAGCTGCCCGTGTCCCAGGACCAGGCCCCCCGCTCGGGCCGAGAGGCAGAGGACGAGCTGGTCAAACACGCCGCCCACTACTGGAGACAGCTCAACCACAAACGCAACCTGGTCAAGTGCGGCCGCTGTGACGAGGAGTTCTTCTCTTTCTCCAAACTCAAGAGGCACGTCATGTCCCACCACCAGAGCCGCGATGGGCAGGAAGGCGGGGGCTTGTCTCCGGACAGCGAGGCGGGCCTGGGGATACTGTCCGCCCAGTCGGGTCTGAACTGTGTGCTGTGCAGGGAGGTGTTGGACAGCAGGGACAGCCTCCTGGAGCACTGGAGCAGCCGGCACCACTGTGAGCAGCCCGGCCTCCTCTGGGACGCCCTGAGCTCCTACTCAGGGCAGGAGGAGCTGGACGTGGACACACCTCACCCCAGCCCACACTAGCCCCCCACCCACAGACCCCTCTCCTGACCTGGGCACAGATCCGCTCATTTCCTCTCAGTTTTACCAGCAGTGTTTCCCAAAGCTTATGTATCAGTTTGTGCGGTGGCAGAATCCTAGTGCCTCCAAATTGTGCTCTTACATATTTATACCTCCCACTAAGTATTCAAAATGCCTACGATCGGACACAGAAAGCATTAAAGTGGGACTAAACACCTACACTTTGCCAACAACCATCATTCAAAGAGAGCTGCTAAACTGTGATGTCACATAGTACTTGAAATTGTAGTGGCCACTGGAGGCAGCACATACTCAGTTTTGAACACAAAGCTGCAAATTTACCTTGCTTGCACAAAAAATTGCCAAAAAAGAAACAGGAGATGATGCTTTTAGAATATAATGTACACAGTTTAGTAGCAAAAATGTTGCTTCAGTGTTTGGTTCCACTTTAAAGTTGAAAGTAGGTGCTCAGATGTTCACAAACTGCCTCGTCTTTGGGAGACACTGCTGCCGTCTACAGCACAGGGATGGACCACGTCTCCAGGGTCCAGCTTCATTTTCACAAACGACAGGGAAGCAGAAGCACCTCAAGTTCAAATCGTGTCAAAGAATTCCTATTTAAACTGGTCTCATGTCACTTTGGATTGCACTGTTTATTTACTGATGTTCAATGTGTTGGCAGAAGCTGTATTATTTTTCTATGCTTATTTAAAGTCTGTTAAAGGGTTAACTCATGAACCAGGCTGAAGTCTGTTCATGCATCACTGTGGTTTCAGTTACATTATCAAATATTGTGGTTTACGGGTTTTCACTAAACACAAGTATGTTACAGATCTACACTAGACTTGGGCTCGGGCTTAAAGGTTCAGTTCCCTTAAGTCAAGGCATTCATCTCACCACTAGTCAGAGTTTAAACAGGCTTTTTCATGACATGTTTTTTCCTTTTTTTTTTTATGACTATTCACATTGTAGATTCTCACTGAAGGCATCAAATACATTTGCTTTAAACATTCCACTAATTAACTTTGACAAAGCACATCTGTGAAGTGAAAACCATTTCATCATGAAGCTCATTAAGGGAAGTTCAAGGGTCTGCAGCACTGGCCACAAAGGGTGGCTACTTTGAGGACGCTCAGTCTGTGATCTAAAACATGTTTAGCATAAGTCAGAAGTCCATACATCTTCTTCATATATTTGATGTTGTCAGTGTGTATCTACGATGTAGAAAGTGGTAAAAAAAAAAAAAAAAAAAACACTGAATGAGAAGATGTGTCCAAACTTTTGACAGGTTGTGTATGTCAGAGCTGAACATTTGAGTAAAGTCAGATGGACCCGACCTGAGGGACATAAAGGGCTTTCTTTCACTTCGAGGATCAGTGCAAAGCATTTAAAACAAGCCGACATTAAACAGACAGATGATATGTATTAACACCAAGCCAAGCTATTGTAATTTATTTTGAAAATCTTTTATCTTTAAACGATGCAATTCTATTGATTTTAGCAATATGTCCCCCTCCCCTCGCCCCCTCCCTCTTCTGAACTTTATCTATAGGATATTTGAGTTCCAGGCTCAGCGCTAACACCAGTGAGGGAGATCAGATCTCTGGAGCAGTGTCTTCAGATCACATATTCCAGAACCAGCTCAAATGTCTTTTTCATGCACATGTAATGAGGACACTTTATACTCAATGCTACACTTTATTAAGAATTAGTGTGTCTATATACAAATATTTACAAATGCTCTATTTTTATGGTCACAGCTCGATGACTCAACAATTTGGAATAAATGTACATTTATCAGTGGCCACAGAGGCGTGGCTGCAGACTACTGTTTATCTAGGGCACTCCCCATGACCACATGGTCTCACTGTCAGAGCCTCAGAGCCTCAGAGCCTGGGACCTGGCCTGGGCCTGGGACAGATGTTACACTCTGCAGACTAAGCTCCAACTGAAACTTGAACTGTCTGAAGCCTCTACAGGGCAGAATGAGGACATCAGCCCCAGACACTGCCTCACCCCACACCCCCACACCCTCACACCCAAACTCATCTTCTGAGGCCCACACTGTGGGCTGGAGGCGGAGCCTGTGGACAGTAGGCGTTGGAGGCGGAGCTCCTTCTCTTGGACTGGTTGAATAATGCCTTTGTGTTGTGTTCTATGCCAAGTGTCTGTGCACACTAGTGACTGTAGAGGTGACGTGTGCAGACCAGTGTTGTGTCTGCAGAGGAGCTCCTGCTGTTTGCTTCTGTGGATGTGTGGACTTCACACATGGTCTGGCTACATATAGTTTTAAACAATATTGTCCTATGCACATACTAATGATATGTTCTAAAGAGATTTTGATTTCAAAGTGTGACCCCTTTCACACCAGTGCATGCTCTGCAGCTCTGCCTTTGCGTTGGTATTTGGTAACAACACTTCAGGAGCTCTCTGCTCTTCTGTGGGAGTGGGAGGGTTGTGTTTCACTATTGGTCTATATGTAGCCAGGCCTCATGAAGAGTAGAATCTAGTCTTTTCTATTCCCTTACAGTGTGGAAGGGCTTTAGACTCTCCTGCTGCTGCTGGTCCTCGTGGAGGCAGCACTGGGGCCTCTGTAACATTTGCAACATTCTAATGAGATGCTTGTGTCCTGGTCTCAAGTCCATAGTACATGGCCGTCTGTCTGTTGTCTTTGATATGAAGAAAAAAAATCACAGGGTTAAGTGAATGTACCTGAATGTTAAAAAAAAAAAAAACTACCAAAAGTATAAACAAACATATGCTAAATAGAGTAAATCTATAGATAGTTATATTGAAAGTGCATATATATATTTCCATAGAGTACGTAGCTGCTGTGCTGTCCAGTGGAGGTTTAAAGAGACTTTATGAAGAGTACAAGCCATGTGGAGCTGGCCTACTGTCTGTCGAAGCACAGGACGGTCTCGACACCAACCAGGAGGTGGCAGCAGTACGGCGCAGACTCACTCTCCTCAGATAGAAGAAGATAGACTGTTAGCACAAGACGAGGTGGTCCAGGTGAGATGATTGAGATGGTTGAGATGGTCCAGGTGAGAAGGTCCAGATGAGATGATTGAGATTGTTGAGATGGTCCAGGTGAGATGGTTGAGATGGTACAATAGAATGCCACTATATTCTCATGTGTTGGGCTCACATTGACTGAAAGTGTTGTGTTGTGACTGCTGTGAACCAGAACGCCCTGATGTCTGAATAAAATATGCTCTGACTGTAAAGACTGTGTCTTGATTCAATGGGTTTATCACTGCTATAAGAAAACCAGGCTCATGGGCTCATGTCCACTGAACATGAACATTGTTGGCTCATCTAAAGAATTAAAGAAACTTAAAAGAAATTCGAACCAGAAGCTTTTAGTTGGGTTCGTTTTCATTAGTGTGAAAGCTTCAATCACATTTGGATCTGCATTAATCAAGTGGACTGAGTGCCAAACTCTGGTGCAGTCCCTTTGGTGTGAACATGAACTCTGGTCCAAACCATAGACTGTGTAAAAAAGTGGACTAAATGAGTGTGACGTCATCCACAGAGTTCAGCGGCGCTCAAATGAAGCTCAGGAGGCAAATAGTAACAAGCGAATTTGGAACCTGGCTCCATATTATGAATAGGATTTCTTTGGACAAACAAAATAGCGAAAAAAACCAAAACACCAGGAAAATGTAGAGTGGGTTAATATGAACATTTTAAGACCAAAATGACGAGGCTCACAGCAGCAGGTACAGAGAGAGGGACCACAATATTTCACTAAGTCAGTGGGAGCCAGCTTCAGAACGAGCCGAAAGAGCCACTCTCAAACTTCCTATTTGGATCTGGACGCCTGCCCCATGGCTGGAGTCCTTGTGCAAGTCCAAGCTCCCAGAGCCAGGGAAACTCTTAGGCAGGGTTCAAGAAACCGTGACTGCCAGAGGCCGGCCTCTGCTTGGGGGTATAGGGACCGGCCCGTGCCGTCCATACCTCTGCGGAGGGGCTCCATGGAAAGGCCACTGGGTGAGATGGTGCATCTCAGCCTCACTTCAGAGAGGTCTGGTGTGCGGCAGAGCCTCAGTGACCCCGAGTCATGTGCAGTGGAACCCGCTGTGCGCAGGAGCCTTGGATAAACGTCAATGGGACCAGGTTTGGTTGGTTTGCAGGTGTGAAAGGACCACACTGGAGTCGATATGCTGCAGAAGAACTGTTTTAATGCCTGGTGCAGACCAAATGATTGAACTAGTGAGTCTGTACTTGATTTTAAACCATGAGTGTGAGAAACATGTGTTAGATTGATCTTTTAGCCCCTAACTTTCTGCTGCCGCATCTCATTTCTCTTTCCTCTCTTCCTTCTCCTTGTTTCCTCTCCTCGATCCACCATTTTTCAGCTGTCAATCAAATGTGTCATATACAAGGAGTCCCAAAGAAAACCACAGAATGAAGGAGGAACTCCGAGGGAGGCTTCAGGAGCAGACACCAGAGAATAGAATCCAACTGTAATGGTCTCAGTGAGGAGTGTAGATCCTCTCTCCTCTGTGGGACTTCCTCACCCATTTTCTGCAGAATCAAGGAGAAGGAAGCGAGGAGAGAGAAATGAGACACATCCCATGAGAAACTATTGTCTGGGATAATATCAGACGGTTGCTTTCCCATAATTGTTGGTAAGAACGCACCTGATTGGCTGAAAAGTGGTGCCCCTGTCGGTAGCATCTGGAGAAAATGATGAACAACAAAACAAATTATAAAACACATTTATAACATATTATTCTCTTTTTTTCTTATTCTGTTGTTTTTACTATTGTTACTTCACAGGCTCTTGAAAATGTGTCATTTAAATCCATTTAGTATTTATTTCTATTTCTGTTTCAGAGTATCTTAAAACTTTTTTGGCAGTGTGCATTGTGTCGTCATGGTAACTGAACATTCCACCATAGAGATACATGTAGAACCCCCCAGAGCATGATGTAAAGAGCATGAATCTTGATTAGAATAAACCAAAATCAGATACAGGCCCTTTAATTGGTGGATTTTTAGAGTAACTGTTGTATTTGGAAGGCAAAGTACATTTTCTTGTTGTCTTGGTCAGAAATCAGATTACTGTGCTCTGTTTACATGACATTTCAATAATCAGATAACTCCAGAAATGAGATATGATCAGGTTTTTGTTGTGTGCGTGAACATTGCCACTGAGCATTATGGACTGCGGCTTTTGTGATTTTGTGATTCTCAAGTTGAAAACTGTGGGAAAAGCAAAGACTGTAGAAATTGGGGTCATGAAAAAGTATTAAAAGTATTAAGTAGTTATGTGCTGGTTTTATACAAGAACTTTCAAGACATTAAGTTACATAACTGGGTGTGCATGGCTGATTCATACCGGCCTAATAACAAATTGAGACCATGTGCAAAAAGACCTGTACATGAACAAACACACTGATTAAAAATGAGAAACAATAGCGCTTGTTTATTCCTGTCTATTTCTGGAGTTATCACTTTATTGACGTGTCACACAAACAATTCCATCTGGTATGAGTAAACTGATTGTTCTCAAATTATGCAAAAATGTGGCAAATGTGAAATAAGAGAAAATAATAATAAAGAGAATTGGATAAATATTGAAGGAGTTATTTTAAAGCCGAAATACGCTATTTTGCAAAATCAACTTTTCAGAGTTTTTAACCATGTTCTAGTTGTTAACATTTACTGATCTAAAGTTGTATTTGGAGTCGTGCATGTTTGACTCATCTTTAATCGCTTATTTTCAAGACACCACACTGCAAATCGTCCCTCGTATTCACCTCCACTGGTGCACGCCCACTGTGTACGCTCTTTGTCCTCCAGTTTTATTTTCTTAATCTGTGATACTTGTAGGATTTTGCAGCATTGCCTCATTTTGGTGTAAATGAAAGAAAAAAGCTCTGCTCTAGTGTGATGTGCAGTGATCCATAGGAGGGGCCCACAGCATGAGGCGTTTTGTTGTGATGTTACCGCGATGTTACAGCTCCCATTGGACACCAAAGTCAACACACTTGTTTCTTTTATTCATCATTATCATCACAGTGTGTGACTAATGTGGCTCGTTGTTTCCTTTAAGTTTTGCTCTTTCTTCTCTTGATAGTTGTGGATAAATTGTTCAAGTTAGAAAGTTTATCCTTTGTGGAGCTTGTTGGTTGAAGATTTGGTGATGGGGCAGATTTATGAAGCTGCTACACACACATTTTGCCACAGAAAAGCATTAACCAGAAGTAACGTTTACCCGACATTGCAGCACTTCCGGCCGTTGTGAAAAATGTCTATAGGTTTTCTTTATAATAAATTGTACTTTGTCTTCCAAATACAACAGTTGAAAATCATTGTATTAACTGACACAATGCATCAGCAGGTGTTTTTCTAGTTATGTGATTTTTACTGACATTTCTGTTGCAGCAGTGAAAAAGAACCAAATAAACAGTTATAATAAGCCAAACACAATGGAATATCAAATGTGCAAAAGTAGGCTATCTTCACCGTTTTTATATTATTATTCTATCAAAATGGCTTCGATATAACCAGCAGCTGTAATTAACGCTCTAATTAGCTGCCTTGGCTAATCTCCGGTGTAGCGTCTCCGTGTACCTGCAGCTAACCGCTCGCTCCTGGCACCACACGCACACAAATTGACTCAAAGCTATATAAGCTAATCAATTATGCCGCTAATTGTTTCCGAAACCCAAGCAGGATGGAGCCGCCTCTGCCTCGTCTCTCGCAATGAAGACAGATTGGGAAATGTCGGGAGAATAGCGCTAATTGATATGTTCAGGTGCGCGTATGTAGGTTAGCCCTGGGCCTTTTAGCTGCTGCTCCTCCTCCCAGCAGACCAGATGTCCCAGTGCAATCACATTTAGCCCGAGTCGGTGTGCGCCGGAGCTCCACCTTTGGACCAGAATGCAAATGGCCGTGTTCATGCTAACGGAGGAACAGCAGTGCTAGCTGACGCGGAGGAGATGACACGGCGGCGGTTCAGTGGAAGGTAAAGGCTCACGCTTCAGAGCACAGGCATGAAAGAGCTTCATCATTAAAACATGTGTGACACTGAACTGATTCATCCACAGAGAGTTTCACATGTTCTCCGACTCGCTGAAGAAAGAAAACAAGTGAGTTTACAGCGCACAAGTGTTTCCCACTGTTCAGGTAACGACACGTGGACACACATCATGTTTATGTGCCGCAGACATGTGCTCAGTGACTGGACATTACTCTCAAACTCACACTAGCAAGAGTGATTTCACTTTCAGATATTTTGGACCCTCAGACTGCAGCCGGCCCTTGGTCTGTTTAAATCCCCCCCACAACTTTCTGATAATATTAATATTACGTAATGGCACAATAGAATGGTACACATTTGTTAAGAGCCGTTGTTACACCAGTGGCTCTGGGCCTCTGGGCCCATCTGGGCCCAATGTCAAATTTAATGAATTATATTCTACTGATTCTGGGGCCTTCATGGAGCTAGTCATGGCCCCACTTGGTAAAGTGTAAAACATGTTGTCTGCATTTGACTTTCAAAAGCGTGCAAACATAACAATGGAATTAGGATGCAAACATTTTTAACTGAGGTTGCAGTGCACCCTTTTGCGCCCCTGTAGACCTGGGTTTAACTTGATTTTACCGGAAGTGCCTTTCATTTAGACAGTAATGGCGTTTTTGGGGCTTAAAAACACAAAAATCTGAAACCATCCTCCAGAGTGGAAAAGTTGAATATGTTCCACCGTAGTGTTTCCGTCTACACTGCCCAAGACACAAAACTCTGGTCAGATGTGCTCAGGTTGCGTACTCATCTATGTCACATACATCACCACCGAGTGTCACCGCCGCCTGTCATCATACACAATCCAATTCCACACACTTTTGCGCCACCGTATGCACGCAGATTTCCTCCCAAAAATGCTCGTCTAAACAGGGAATAAAAAGTAAATACACTTTTGCATCTTCTGTTCAGACCGTCACAATATAAACATACATACCATAGTATTTTCCACTGTAAGGAGCAATGGTTGAATACAGTTTGGAGACCTGTCTTCAGATCTTGAGTTAAGATTTGTCATGACCCATGATGACTGTTTGAGGACTTACTGTGCATGTTGTGGGTTGATGGAGGAAACCAAAACCCACCTAGACATGAGAGAAGATGCAAACTCCACACAGAGGCCTCGTCTGGACACAAAGTCAGAGAAGTGGGA